AGGAGAAGAAAAAGGAGGTGAAGAAGAGGAAGAAAGAGGAGGAGGAGAAGGAGAAAGGAGGTGAAGGAGAAAGAAAAGGGGAGAAGAGAAAGAGGAAGAAAAGAAAGGAGGAGATGGAGAAGAAGAAGAAGAAGAAGGAGAAGAAAAGGGTAAAGAAGGAAAAGGAAAAAGAAGAATCAGAAGAAGAGGGAGAAGAAGAAGGAAGAAGAAGAAAAAGAAGAAGTAGAAGAAGGAAGAGAAAGAGAAGCTAAAAAAAGTCCACATATCTTCAAGTTGTAATGGTTGAGAAACAGTCCTCGACTTTCAACCATTCCTTTAGTGACAAAAGATCCAAAAGCCCTGGAAAAAGTGACACGGTGACCATTTTTCACACCTGCGACCATTGCAGCATTCCTGATCAAAATCCGGATGCCTGGCAATAGGTTCCAATTTATGACGGCTGCTGGTGTCCCAAAGGTCACGCTGATTCCCCTTTGGCGAGCAAAGTCACTGGGGGAGTTCACTTAACAACCGTGCAGGGATTCACTGAGCAACAGTGGCCAGAAAGTTTTGTAACATGGGGTAAAGAAACCCAAAACTTAAGAACCCTCTTGCTTAGCTGTGGAAATTGGGGTCTCAATTTCGTGGTCATAAGTTGAGGACTACCTGTACGGAAGGCTGCACTTGCGGGTGAAGAAACCCAACCTCCGTGCCCCTCCCCCCCCCCGGGGGCCAGGTGATTCCCCATTACCTGAAGACGCAGAGAATCATCATGGCCACTATCAGAGCAATGAGAGACAAACTATGCCCGATGGTGTATCCAGTTTTCACTGTGCCATAGAAGACGGCACTCTGCGGAGAAAGAGAGAGAGAGAGAGAGAGAGAAGCACAACAGAGCGGTCAACACTTTTATCTGGTTTGACAAATCCAGGTGGTCCTTGAGTTATGACCACAACTGAGCCCAAAATTTCTATTGCTAACTGTTGTGGCTCGCTGGCAGCAGGTCTCTGAGACCTGCATGTGAGGCAGGGATGGGACCAGGACCACCAGGGAGTGGAGTGCTGTCTTTGGAGATTGTGGAGGCTGGCAGCAGTGATGAAGAGGAGCCCGAGGAGCCTGTGCTCAGCACGTGTGCACAAGACTATTTGAAGGAAACAGCAGCACGGGCGACTCGGGAGTAAGACTGCAAGGGGATGGCCCCTCCTTTAAGAGATAAAAGCCAGCTGAGAAACCAGAGTCCTTTGCAGGAAGCAAAGAAGTTTTTGCACTCAAGCCTTGAGGACGTTTGGAGTATCTTGGTTGGTGTTTGGAGACTTTTTGTGTTTGAAATATTTCTTAGCAACTTTATCTAGTGTTCTTGGCAGCCTTTCACCACCTTGGCAAGGCTCGTTCTTATTAGAGACAATTAGTTTGAAACAGCCTTTTAACCGGGAAGGAACGGGATTTGAAAAGAAAAATTAAAAAGTTTTGCTGTTTACTTTTGTCTCGTGTTTTCTCTCTTGGAAACAGGTTTGGGTCAGAACATTAACTGAGACATTTCTAAAGGGAGTTTTGACCCATTCTATGCACTATCTTTGCCACCATTGTTAAGTGAACCACTACAGTTGTTAAGTGAGTTAACACAGTCCTTAAGTGAATCTGGATCCCCGCCCCATAGGCTTCACTCGTCAGAAGGTCACAAAAGGAGAATCCCGTGATCCCTGGAACACTGCAACTGTCATAAATGTGGGTTGGCAGCCAAGCGTCAGAATTTTGATCATGTGAACGGTCGTAAGTGTGAAAAATGGTTGTAAGTCTCTTTTTTCAGGGCCGCTGTAATCTTGAACGGTCAGTAAATGAATCTTTGTAAGTGGAGGGTTAATTGGCTAATTAAATGAACCGAGAAGCCATTAAGTGCAAATCTTCTGCCCAGACGGCTCTACGGAGTCCTTGACTTACAATAATCCCTTTACAGACCACTCAAACTTAAAACGGTGCTGAAAACGATCGGTCCTCACACTTACGACCGTTGCATCAAAAAATTTCCGTCCACTTTCTGACAAGCGAAGTCAATGGGGAAAGACGGGTTTCGCTTCACGACTGATTCATTTAAGAACTGCAATGATTCGTTTTACAACCACGGCAGAAAAGGTGGTAAAATTGGGAGCAACTCGCTTGATATTAGGCCTGTTGTAAGCTGAGGCCTACCCACAGGCTGGGCCTTACGTAGAGTAGATTTCAGTGATATAATCCCAACCCCAAGAACGGCAACACAACTGTCCTGCAGGGATCCCAGCTATGACCTGCTCGGAGCAATCATGCTTCCACCCTTCAAATACAAAAGAGAAACAGTTTGGTCCAGCGGTTAAGCCAGCAGGTTGAAAAACAGGAAGCTGTGAGTTCAAGTGCTGACTCTGCCATAAAGCCAGCTGGGTGACTTCGGGCCAATCACCAGGAGACGGTGAGTTCTAGTCCCGCCTTTAGGCGTGGAAGCCGGCTGGGTGACTTTGAGCCAATCACTAGAATACGGTGAGTTCTAGTCCCGCCTTTAGGCATGGAAGCCGGCTGGGTGACTTTGGGCCAATCAGCAGGAGATGGTGAGTTCTAGTCCTGCCTTAGGTATGGAAGCCGGCTGGGTGACTTTGGGCCAATCAGCAGGAGATGGTAAGTTCTAGTCCCGCCTTTAGGCATGGAAGCTGGCTGGGTGACTTTGGGCCAATCAGCAGGAGATGGTGAGTTCTAGTCCCAGCTTTAGGCATGGAAGCCGTCTGGGTGACTTTGGGCCAATCAGCAGGA